TTCTCATCTAGTTGTCTCACCTCAGACATCCTCCTTACAAAATCATTCACAGTTGTGGCCTTTACTGCCCTCCACACAGCTATTTGATTACCCTTGAACCAGCTCTACTCATGTTACCTTGCATATGTCTAATAAAAAACCGATGTTCAGCATTTGGAAACACATCATTAAATGCTTGGATAAGACCTTTCTGCTTGTCTGACATGAAGCACCATTCATAATCATCTTTAATTCCAAGATCTGCCTTCGATAACCTCAAGAACCAACCCCATGATTCACCATTTTCTATTTCAACAACAGCATAACAAATAGGAAATATACTGTTGTTTGGATCCAAACCCACAACTGTTAATATGACTCCACCTTCTGCACTCTTTATATGACACCCATCCACTCCAACAACCCTTCTGCACCCATTTAAAAAACCCATCTTCAGTGAAGCAAAACAAACATAAATCCTCTCAAATGTTTGATCCTGGTGCAGCCCAATTAGCACAGTTGAATCAGGGTTAGATCTCCTGACCTCATTTGCATATGCCCACAACAGTTTGTATTGTTCCTCTATGCTTCCTTCAAGCTGCTCCAAAGCAAGTTTTTTTTGCCCTCCATGCCTGAAATGGGGTGACATTACACCTTAGACTTTGCACACAATCAACTCTGAATCCTTGGGGTTTTCTCCCAGCTAACCAAGTTGAATTAAGATTTTTAACATTCATGGTCATTGGACAAGATTGTTTGGAGACATATTCTCTGATTCTATATGTACTTGAATCATTAACCTTTACTGCTTGCAGCCTCCATTCACATTCAGGCTCAACACACTTAGCATGTAATCTAAGGGTGTCATTCTTAGTGATTTTCACATTTCTTTTTTCCCTAATTGAATCTGAGTAAACTGCCATCCTAACTTCTTTCTTTGTGCTGAAAACCATTCCAAGCTTCAACCTTGGAGTGTACAATTGAAGTGGATTGAACAGAGGAGCAACATCCTTATTCACCTCCTCATCAGACTCCTTCCCGCTGTAGTAGTCATCCTCACTTTCCACCACATCTGCATCACCTAATTCATCATCTTCTTTAGAACCTCCAACATGGATTGATGTATTGTGATCACACCACTCCACCTCAGAGTCTATGTGTTCATTGGAAATAATATCATCATCCTCATTATCACAGTCTTCAGAATTAACCTCAAAGTCAAGGTCTTCACTATTATCACTCTCAACACTACCATCTCCCTCATCATCTTTACCTCCCAATTCAGGTTCAGGATTAGGGCCCCTTCTTTCACACTGCCCACTAGCCTTCTCTCCAACCTCAGCTTCAGAATCTTTTCTTTCACACTGCCCACTAGCCTTCTCTCCAACATCAGCTTCAGACTCTTTTCTTTTACACTGCCCACTAACCTTAACTCCCAACTCAGCCTTATAATCATAATTTGCCAATGATTCATCATCTATCTCCCAATCGTTAGAGTCTTCATCACATGTGATGCACTTAGCCCCATTATCAAAATAAACAAAGAGCTCTCTAGAACCATTTATAGCTCCTTTAATGAAAACATTTAATTCCTCATCCTTTTTTATTTCAGTAATGACACCTACCTCAGATTTCCCCCAGTAAGTAATGGTCCCCTCTATTTTCTCTCTAATTGTCAGCCTGTAAAGTGCTTCTAAAGACATCAGCTCTTCTTGGACGAAGTCGAACTTGTAAGCTGCCCCACCGATGTACTTCTTTCCCCCACCATTACTATGAAAATGTCCCCTAAAATGGACACATAAAGTGAAGAGTGGGCTTTTCGAGTCTGCATACAATACAAAACAAAACAAAAAAACATAGATTATGTCAAATTGGACTGCAAAATAGAAGACGACAATAAACATTTCACCTAGGGTTTCGAAAATGGGAGACGAAATTGAAACTCGAAAAAATTCAATATAGAACTTACCATAATCAGGTGGTCCAAAGTCGAAGTGTTCAGGTGGCCTAAACATCATTAGATTGGCCGTTGTCCTCTACTTCACGATCTTCACCCAACTGAATTTTTGCAGAATTTGGATCGGGATTGGGATTGGGATTGAGAATGAAAGTCAGAAATTTTTTCGTAGGGTTTGAGAAAGGAAAAATGACGAGAATTTGGGATTTTCTGCTAAGTGTCTCTTCGATTTTCCCTCCACTATACCTCTTCGGCGACGTGGCATTAAAAAAAAATGAAAAGAAAAATCCAACTCTTCGGCGACGTGGCATAAAAAAAGACAAAAAAAATGGAAAGAAAAATCCAGCTCATCAAGCCGGTAAGAGTTACCCACGTTAGCCGGTGTCAGGACCGTTTATCACGATTTTTGCCACTTACGGGACGCGATCCAAAAGTGGTCATCGGAGAGGACTAAACCTCAAATGGGTGCTACTTACAGGACTAAATCTCTAATTTTTCTTTTTGATTGACATTATCTACTTTGTGAGGCTTGAGCCATATTCGTTTCTTGTGAGATGTTGGTCTGAATATTATTCAGTTAGAATTTGCCTTGAGTCTACCTTGAAATGAATTGATCGGATTTGTGTAACGTGAACATGATTTAGGCATTCCTTGTATTTTCTTTCTTTTTTTTTTCCTAAAATAACATTCACTAGTCACCCCTTCGAGCCTTATTTGATTTTTATTGATAACCTCGTAATGATGACGCTGACGAGTTGCGGGTTGAGAATTGGAGGTGGCGATTGATTGAGTTGTGAAGATTCTCGAACTGGAAGCTGAGTGGATTATACTCCAAGTGCTCCGACCATTAATGTTAGTGGAAACGAGCAATTATTACGGGAAACTCGGGCAGGAAACCAAAGATAAACCTAGATAAAATGTCCAAAAGGTTTTCACCAAAAAAAAAATAAAAAATAAAAAATAAAAGAGAGAATAATATGTTGGGGAAGTGTGCTGGTTTTGGAGTAAGTGGGGAGGAACCGGTTTGTTTTGGCAACCGGAAGAGTTCATGATCACGGTTAGGTGATTGAATCGAGTTGAGTTGATTTGTGTTGAGCAACTTAGCCTATATTTATCCTACCCGATCCAAAAAGCCTATGTTACATCCCTATAAGTCCTCTGGATTCACTATTTCATGAATTTGATTGTTTTAGAGTAAATGTTAGACGATAGGCAAACTTATGATTGATTTGACTGACGACTAACTTGAATGCACCTATCTTATATTTGGGGAAGAAACATGAGTGAGGCACATATGATATATTTTTGTACTCGAGAGTCTGTATTCTTCAAAACATAGCCAAGTTAGTAGTTGAGGCGTGCTCTTGTGATTATTGGAATTCTTCTCGACTTGATTGATTGGTTTGAGATTAGTCTTGTTTGAAACCGTTGTCCTTGCTCATTTGCTTTTTTTTCTTTTTTTTTTTTTCGGGACGAACAAAGGTTTTAGTGTGGGATGTTGTTTGTTGATATTTTTGTTGGTATTTTGTATTTCTTAGGTTTTTCTTGTCCATCTAGTCGTTTATCGTATTTTTATCTTTATTTTGGTGTGTTTGGTATTTTCTTTGTTTTTCTTTCTATTTTTCTTGTTGTTCGTGTTTTTCCAGTTGTGGTGGTTTCAGGTTTTAAACTGGCCAAATGATGAGCATTCAGACAAGAGAAGAAGTGTGTCGTCCAAGTTCGTTTCGTGCGATCAAACATGCGAGGATCGAGTTTCCAACTCGGGCAAGACCCGAGAGACGCTAGCCGAGAGCACGCGAACCCGGGACATCAAGATTTTGAAGCTGCCCAGACCTTAGCGCCGCTACCCCGAGTTAACGACCCCAGAAGCCCGACGTTTTTCACCCTTAACAGCTAAGGGGTTAGCGCCGTTAACCCCTATTTCGTAACTGATGCAATTTTCTCGGATTTCTAATGGGAGGGCTTAAGGGTCGATTGGAGAGCAGCTTTTACACATTCTAGACATTGTATTTTCGACTTTTTCTTATGAAGAGCATAATTTCACTTGGTTTTTGTTTGGATTTGCTTGGGAGAGCAAAAACTCCATCTTTTGGATTTGGATTGTTCTCGGTGTTTGACATTCGGATTCATATTAATCATTAGTTTTTATTCTCGTTTAGTTTACGATTGTTAGGGCTTGTTTTGATGTGATTATCGGTGTTGAATACATTATGAGTGGCTAAATCCGTTAATTAGGGATATGGGATGATTGTTTTAGTTTGTTTTTTATTACGAGCTCATTAATTGTTCAATCTATGCAAGTTGGGTTATTCTAGGGTTAGTTGATTGATCACCGTTCTAACCCAGTTAATCGACTTTTAAAACGAAAGGGGAGAAGTCAATCGATTTAGGCTCGTTTAGACTATGTTTGTTCGTAAATGTATTGTTTGTGTGTTATTGAATTTGATTGTTGATCATTTACATTCACTCTCTTATTACGAAGAATTATTGAGAGTGAACATCTAGACGAGTTAGCTTTTCGAGTCTTCTAACCGAGCAATTGATTGCCCGGTAGTTGCAATTGGAACCGGAAACGATTATCCCTGATTCTCTAACTTTTCTATCATTAAGTGAATTTGTTTAGAATTGAAATTTCGTTTTACCATGTTTGAGAATCATTAATTGCTAGTTGAAACAAAAAAAAAAAAAA